TACTCTATCACTTGAGCCACAGTGCCACTTCCAACTTTTTTTGGGGGGGGGAGGGGTCCGGTCGTGGGGCCTGAATTCTGGGCCTGGGCACTGTCCCTCAGCTCTTCAGCTCAAGGCTAGCGCTCTACCACTTGAGCCACAGCACCACTTCTAGCTTTTTTCTTTCTGTTTATGTGGTGCTGAGGAATCAAACCCAGGATCTCAGGCATGCAAGGCAAGCACTCTACCACTGAGCCACCTTCCCAGCCCATTTCCAACTTTTTCTGAGTATGTGGTACTGAGGAATCGAACCCAGGGCTTCATGCATGCCAGGCAAGCACTCTACCACCATGCCACAATCCCTCAAAAACATTTTTTTAATCTAAAAAATGAAACCAACCACAAAAATCCCAACTAATATAAAATGCAACTGGCCATGGCTGTACACACCTGTGATCTTGGCACTCAGAAGGCTGAGGCAGGAAGATGATTCTAGCCTGGGCTAAATGGCAAGTCTGAGGCTAGCCTTGGCTACAGGTGAGTGCCACACTACCGGTGAGTATGACTTTTGCTCAAACATACCAAACCAAGCTGGAGGCATGGCTCAAGTTGCAGAGCAGCTGCCTAGCAAGAATTAGGCCCTGAGTTCAAATCCTTGTACTGCCAGAAAACAAACCAAAACCCTCACCCAAATCAAACAAGCAGGACAACACCACAACCCAAGCAGACCAATGGATGCCCACACGTCATTGGGGACAAAAGGAGGGAGACAAATCCATGTGTCCTTACTCAAAGCCAGATTCCCCACATCCCCTCCGGAGCCGGGTTTGTGGTGTGCAACAAGCAGACACTGGGCATCCTGGAGGAACTGCTGCTGGACGAAGCAGGAATACCACATCTTGATCTCCTTCAGGTGACTGGGGATGTCGGCATTGAAGACAATCACCACCCCGTGAGCGTCCTTCATCAGGGCAGGCCAGCAGGACTCAAACCTACAGGGCAAAAACCGTGTCAGCCCACCTTGCCTTAGTTTTTTTTTTTTAACTTGTGCCAATATTGGGGCTTGAACTTAGGGCCTAGCTGGCTTAGACCCTTAGCTTTTTTGCTTACAAGAGTAAAAGCTGGGGGCAGGGGGGGCATGGCTGGGAAGGTGGCTCAGTGGTAGAGCGCTTGCTTTGCATGCATTGAAGCCCTGGGTTCAATTCCTCAGCACCACATAAGTAGAGAAGACCGGAAATGGCTTAAGTGGTAGAGCGCTAGTCTTGAGCTGAAGAGCTGAGGGACAGTGCACAGGCCCAGAGTTCAGGCCCCACTACTGACCAAAAAAAAAAAAAGAGTAAAAGCTGGGTGCCAGTAGCTCATGCCTATACTCCTAGGTACTCAGGAGGCTGAGACTTGAGGATTGTGGCTCAAAGCTAGTACAGACAGGAAAGTCCGAGAGACTCTTATCTCTCAATTAACCACCAGAAAACTGGAAGTGGTGCTGTGGCTCAAATGGGTAGAGCTCATACCTTGAGCTGAAGAGCTCAGGGACAACACCTAGGCCCAGAGTTCAAGCCCCACGACCAATCAAAAAAAAGTTAGTCATCTGTGTACAGCCTACCTTACCTTTTGTGTATTTTGTGTGAGTATGAGACAGGAGAGAGAAAAAAATAAGCTGGGAAGCGAATTTAGAGGTGCCAGACACACTACTAGTGAGCTAAATCTCCCATTTCTCACTGCGAGCTTTATTGCCAGGAGTTGATGGTTCATGTCTCTAATCCCAGTTACTTAAGAGGCTGAGATCTGAGGAATCATGGTTCGAAGACAGCCCAAGCAAAAAAGTCCTTGAGATTCTTATCTCCAATTAACCACTGAAAAGCAAGAAACGGAGCTGTGGCTTAAGTGACAGAGGGCTAGTCTTGAGCAGAAAAAGCCAAGCCAAGAGGAAAGTCCCTGAGCTCAAAACAAACCAAAACCTTTTATCTTTGTATCACTGACTGGTTGAGGAATTCAACTGTATCACAAGGCACTTACTAAAGTTTACCAAGCAATGCATATCCCCAAGGAGCACCATGCTTGAGAACATGTTAGGCCTCATGGCCTGGTACAGATTTTTTTTTCTGTGTCTGGAACCCAGGACGGAGGTGAGTGCTGTAACACTGAGCCACCAGTTTGCTCCTCCAGTCATCTGATAAAACAGAGCTTTTCTAAAGGAAACGTACTTCAGGTCGCCACCGCAGTCCCAGAGCTCGAACTCACACCCCATGCCTTTATTGTTGCTGGTCACATTTGGATTTTCGAATTCCAGGATCCTAAAAGTCAAAATAGCAGCAATATCTTGACTCAGAAGCATCCCATTTGTGGAACCCCCAAAATGCCAGTTATACAGGGTGGGTGACAGCTGTAGACTCTGGGGGCAGGCTCACCTCACCCCTTGGGTTGGGTTGTACTTGGTGATGTCTGAAGACTCTGTGATGTCTGAAGATTCGGTCAGAAAGTTGGCCAAAATGGTTTTCCCACTCTGTGAAGATGAGATAGTGAAGGTCTTTGATGGATCACTCCTTTAACCCCAGCTACTCAGGAGACTTGAGAGCTGAGGGTCATGATTTGAAGCCAGCCTGGCTAGAAACGTCTATGAGACTCTCATTTCCAATTAACCAGCAAAAAAAAGCTGGAAGTGGAGGAGTGGCTCATATGGTAGAGCACTAGCCTTGAATGAAAAAGCTAAGTAAGAGTGTGAAGCACTGAATTCAAGCCTCTCTACTGGCATACACACACAAGCTAGGTGCTGATGGCTCACGCCTATGCCTAGCTATTCAGGAGGCTAAGATCTGAGGATTGCAGTTTGAAGCCAGCCAGGCAGGAGACTCTATCTCTAACTACCAGAAAACTAGAAGTGGAGCTCAAAGTGGTAGTTAGTTTTTGTTTGTTTTGTTTTTGTCCATTGTGGGGCTTGAACTCTGGGCCTGAGCGCTGTCCCTCAGCTCTTCAGCTCAAGGCTAGTGCTCTACCACTTGAGCCACAGCACCACTTCCAGCTTTTCTGCTTATGTGGTGCTGAGGAATCAAACCCAGGGCCTCAGGCATGCGAAGCAAGCACTGTACCACTGAACCACCTTCCCAGCCCTAGAGTGTTAGCTTTGAGCAAAAAAGCTTAGGCAGCCAGGCGCTGGTGGCTCAGGTCTATCATCCTAGCTAGGAGGCTGAGATGTGGGGATTGCAGGCCAAAGCCTGAGCAGGAAAGTCCATGAGACTCTTATCTCCAATTAACCACCAGAAAACTGGAAGTGGCGCTGTGACTCAAGTGATAGAGTGCTAGCCTTGAGCTGAAGAGCTGAGGGACAGCCCCAGGCCCAGAGTTCAAGACCCATGACTGACAAAAAAAAAAAAGCAAAAGCGCAGAGACAATGCCAAAGTCCTGAGATCAAGCCCCATGACCAGAAAAAAGAAAAAAAAAATCTAAATTCACAGGTAATTTCCCAACCTAAACTATGGAGGAAGAAAAAAGAAAAAGAAACTCTCTAGGTGTTTCTGATATGCATGGAAGATGAGAGAACATTGTGTGTGTGTATGTGTGTGTGTGTGTGTATGTATTTATTTATAATATATAACGAATATTATGGGACTGGGTTTTTTGTTTCTTGTCTTTTTGTTGGTCATGGGGCTTGAACTCTGGGCCTGGGTACCTTGAGCTCTTCAGCTCAAGGTGAGAGCTCTACCACTTGAGCTACAGTGCCACTTCTAGTTTTCTCATGGTTAACTGGAGATAAATCTCATGGACTTTCCTGCCCGGGCTGGCTGTGAGATCCTCAGATCTCAACCTCCTGAGTAGCTAGGATTACAGGCATGAGCCACAGGTGCCAGCAAGTACTAGGATTTGAATTTCGGGGTCTGAATCTGCAGGCACTCTAGCACTTGAGCTATGCTCCCAACTTTATTACTTCTGGTTATTATTATTTTTTTTTGGTCGGTCGTGGGGCTTGAGCTCTGGGCCTGGGCGCTGTCCCTCAGCTCTTCAGCTCAAGGCGAGTGCTCTACCACTTGAGCTACAGCGCCACTTGCGGTTTTCTAGTGGTTTATTGGAGATAAGAGTCTCAGGGACTTTCCTTGCCCCGGCTGGCTTTGAACCGTGATCCTCAGATCTCAGCCTCCTGAGTAGCTAGGATTACAGGCGGGAGCCACCTTCTGGTTATTTTTGAGATAGTGTTTTATTGTTTTGCCTAGGCTGGCCTAGGACCCAATCCTATTTACACTTTCTGAGTATCTGAGATGACAGGTATGGAAGTCTTGCCTTTTTACCTCAATTGACCTGGAACCTCTATCCTCCCAATCTCAGCTTCCTTAGTAACTAGAGTTACAGGCATGAGCCATCACACCTGGCTATGGTTCTCTGTGTCATTAACATTCGTTAGGGACAACCCAGGATGGGGGTCAGAGACCCAGACCCTGACTCCTTTTTGTTGTTGTCGGTTGTGGGGCTTGAACTCAGGGCCTGGGCGATCCTGAGTGCTTGTGCTCTAAGTGAGCACTCAACCCATTTGAGCCACAGTGCCACTTCCAGATTTCGGGAGGGGGGGGTAGGGTCATTGGAGATAAGCGTGTCACAGACTATCCTGCCCAGGCTGGCTTGGAACCACGATCTTCAGATCTCAGCTTCCTGGATGTCTAGGATTACCGGCGTGCGGCACCAGCGCACGGCCCTGATTCCAACGATGCCGTTCACTACGCGGCCTCGGTAAGGCGGGACTGCCTAGTAGGGTCAGCGGCGTCCGCCGGGAGGGGACCCTGGGCCTGGGTCGCCAACTCCTGCGGCCCTCTGCACCAAGCCACAGTCGTGGGCCTCCCGTGGTTCCCCGCGATCCCCCAGGCACTCCCCGCACCGCGCCGGGCCCAGCCTCACCTCGCAGGGCCCCACGAAGAGGACCTTGACCTTCAGCATCGCGGCCGGGCCTCGGAGGGGCCGCTTGCGGGTCCTACTGCCGCGGGGGGATTCGGGCGAGCGCAGCTGGCCGCGCGGATTGGCTGGCCTCCCTCGTCCCCATGACGACGGGGAGCGGCGCGCGAGGAACGACGGGAGCCGCGCAGTTCCTGGCTGATTGGCTAGCCGCCCTCGTCTCCATGGCGACCAGGAGCGGCGCGGGGAACGACGGGGAACCAGCGAGAAGTGGTGGAGGGCACCTCCAGAGCCGCGCCTGCATGCGGTGTGGTTCCCTCCAGTTGTGCTGGGACTCTCACCATAATTTGGATGCTCTGGGAGAAGCCGAAAGGGCAACCTGCTGGCGTTGCTTGCCCAATGCCTGCAGTGTGGCTGCTGAGCTCGGTCACTAGGTTGGGCCTTCAATCGTGGAGCAGGGCATTGATAGGAATTCACAGCCTCTCTTTTTTGGGGTGTGTGTGTGTGGTCGTACTAGGTTTTGCACTCGGCCTCAAAGTTTTCTAGGTAAGCGCTGTACCACTGGAACTATGCCTCCAGCCCCCTTTTTGATTTGCGGTGTGTGTGTGTTATACTGGGGCTTGAATCCAGGGCCTGGACGTTGCCCCTGAACTTTCCTGCTCAAAGTGGGCACTACCAGTTACAAAGGAAACAGAGATCATTTCTGGAGAAAGGTGCATCACTCTAGGTTCTGTTATTTAGGTGATTTTATATTTACCACATCCAGCAATTAATATGAGAAAAGAAAGAAAGAAAGCCTGGGGATGGTGGTTCATTCCTATAACCCTAACTACTCAATGGCTGGGAATGTGGCTTAGTGGTAGAGTGCTTGCCTAGCATGCATGAAGCCCTGGGTTTGATTCCTCAGCACCACATTAACAGAAATGGCTGGAAGTGGTGCTGTGGCTCAAGTGGTAAAACACTAGCCCTGGGCACAGAGAGGCTCAGGGACAGAGCCCAGGCCCTGAGTTCAACTCCTAGGACAGGACAGGCTAAATAAATAAATAGATACATTAATTAATTAATAAAATTAGTGAGACTCCCATTTCAGCCAACAAAATTAGTATGGCAGTAAATGTCCATGGGACCATAGGAAGGAGAACTGAAGTCTGAAGCTGGCGCTGGGCAGAAAGCATGAGACCTAATCTGAAAAAGAACAAAAGGATAGAGGGCTGGGGCATGGCTCTAGTGGTAGAGCACCTGCTCAGCAAGCTCTAGAAGCTTGAGGCCCTCCAGAACTGCCAAAAAGAAAACATATGTGTTAGGTTCTGCCAGAAAACCATGCAGACATCCAGGCACAAAGAACAAAGAAAAGGTTTATTGCCAACAAGGGGACTGGCAAGACCCCTCTCACAAGAGAGAAGTGCCGGCTATTGTTGGGGGTGACCTATATAATCTATGAGGCTAGGGCGCGGAGACCTTGGTGTGGACATGTGAACCAGATGCTTCATTATGATGGGCTAGGATTTATTGTAGCTGCCCAAGTGGTAGATAAGGGGTATGCAGTTGTCCAGACTTGAAGGCCACTCTAAAGGGATGTTGTTGCCTTATATGGCTGTAACTGACCCAAAGGAATGCCATCTGAAGGTGAAGGTGGGAAGGTGGAGGCTGATTTCTTTTCTGCCTTTACCAAATGGGCCTAGTGTTGCCTAGGAGAAGAGCATGCTAAGCTATGAGAGAGGAGGCTATAGAGATAACAGTATGGCTGGGAAGTTGGCTCAGTGGTAGAGCGCTTGCCTTGCATGCATGAGGCCCTCGGTTCGATTCCTCAGCACCACATAAGCAGGGAAAAAAAGCCGGAAGTGGCATTGTGGCTCAAGTGGTAGAGCTCTAGCCTTGAGCTGAAGAGTTGAGGGACAGTGCCCAGGCCCAGAGCTCAGCCCCACAACCGGACCAAAAAAAAAAAAAAAAAAAGAGATAACAGTATGAAAGAGAAAGTAACATGAAAACACCACCACCCCTCAATCAAAGTCCAATTTATCAAACTTCAAAATAAATATACTTAAATTCTGGATATTGATGGCTTGCACCTGTAATCCTAGCTATTCAGGAGGCTGAGATTTAAGGATCACAGTTCAAAGCCAGCATGGGCAAGCAAACCAGGAGACTCTTCTCTCCAATTAATCAGCAAAAAGCTCAAGTAGTAGCCAGCCTTTAGTGAAAAAGCCAAGTGAGATCAACAGGCCAGCACAACACACACACAGACATGAAGAGGAAGAAGAAGGAGGAGGAGAAGGAGAAGAAGAGGAAAATAGAAAAAATGTTTCTGTCCTGTGAGTTCCTACTTAATTTTTGGCAGGATTACGTATTCCCAGGTGGTAACTTTATTACTAATGCTTCATATAAATGTCCTTTTGTGTTCAATAAAATATGAAGTCAGGTGCCAATGGCTCATGCCAATAATCCTAGCAATTTGAGAGGCTAAAATTTGGACAATTGTAGGTTGAAATCAGCCCAAGCAGGGGATCCCTATTCTTCCAGCTTTTTTTTTTTTGGTCCGGTCGTGGGGCCTGAACTCTGGGCCTGGGTGCTGTCCCTCAGCTCTTCAGCTCAAGGCTAGACTCTACCACTTTGAGCCACAGCTCCACTTCCGGTTTTCTGGTGGTTCATTGGAGATCAGAGTCTCAGACTTTCCTGCCTGGGCTGGCTTTGAACTTCAATCCTCAGATCTCAGCTGCCTGAGAGCTAGGATTACAGCCACTAGCACCTGGAAGTCCCCATTTGTAGGGCACACGGGCAGCAAAGATGGCGCTGAGAGGGAGTTGAGTGGGCAGAGCCCAGATTTGTTTACATTCAGTGTGTAAACAGCTCAGGAAAGCTTAGGTGCTTAGGTGATAGGGTGTGACCTTTACAGTGATTGGTTGGTTCCTTTTCTTCCCCTCCCATGCCACGAGGTCTTTTGCTTTAAAAAGTGCTTGCTGTGTGGTAATAAATGAGTTCCTGCTTGACTGGACTCCCTGCTGTGTCTGATTGTCTCTGGGGCTAAGGGAGGCTGGGGACCAGGCAAGCTGTGCACTTACCTTTCCTTGGACCCTGTCCGGTCTTCCATGGGATGGATGAAGACTTGAAATCTAGTGCCCAACATGGGGCACGAAAGGAAAATATACCAGCCGAGGCTAAGCGGTCTGTCAGGGTAAGTGAAACTCTTAGTATGGGTAATGCTATTTCACAGAAGGAGGAGGAGGAGGCAACATTAGGCCTAGAGGGAGTAAAGGAGGACTTGAGAAGTGAGAAGGAAAAGGAATGGGTCAAATTCGACCGAGAAAGCACTGATCAGACAGAAGCATGCACAGTGGAAGTCAAAATGAGGGTGAAGGTTACCCCTCTGACTCGGGTGCCCCTGACGGTCCTAGGCCCCCACTCTATTCCACCAATTGGGGGGGAGGTACGGCACCCTATGTGACCCTACAGAGGGACCTGTGAGACCCGGACCCCTACTGACCTTCCATGGAGGGGCCGAGGGCTGGGGAAGCAACCTGTGCGAAGGCCTACCCTGTAAAGGAGGAGCCCGGGAGCCTGGACCCTGGGCCACAGGATTCACTTCCCCAAGAGTATCCGGTCAATCTGGCACCAGGAGCTAACAGGCCCTTGGAATGGTATCCATGGGAAGCTAAGGATCTTAAAGAGCTTCGCAAGGCGGTGGCAGAGGATGGCCCAAACTCTCCTTGGGCCCAGACCCTAGTACAGGACATTGCTTATTACCCATGTGTCCCTGAGGACTGGCTGGATGTGGCCAAAGCCGTCCTCACCAGTTCTCAGTTTATTAAATGGTATGCCTTCTTTAAGGAGGAATGCAGAGTGCAGGCGGAGAATAACCGGCAGGCTCAACCCGAGATACCTATTACTTATGCCATGTTAACAGGGATGGGGGAAGGGTACTCCACTGGCGTCCAACAGGCCGCAATACCTGGCCCGTACCGTGACCAGGTGAGGCAGGCAGGACTTGCCACGTGGTACAAACTGGATGATGGGCCCAGAGTCCCCCATAGCAGGAGTGAGACTGGGTGAGCCTCTACCTGATTTTATAGACCAAGTAGATCAATTTGTAAAGCTACTGGTTTGGGAAGGGATGAATGCAGACCACTGCCCGGCCTGCGAGGGGTTGAGAGAGAGTTCCCTGAGCAGGTGGGTGGTGGCCTCGCAGGATGTGGGAATGCAACAGCACCAGTCCCTATCACTAGCTTTAGCTTTACAGGCTCAGACATCTGCAATGACTGAGGCTATTACCCAGGCGCTGGCAGCCCAGGGCCAAGGAACCCCAAGACCATCGGGGAGAGGGACTTGTTTTAAATGAGAACAGGAAGGCCCCTTTAAGCAGGACTATTCACAACAATCCCCCCCCACTAACTGGCTGGTGGTGGGGGTCCAAATCGCCCCCTATACCTGCCCCAGGTGCAGGAAGGGATGCCATTGGAAAAAGGATTGTCAATCCAAAGTTGATTTAGATGGGAAGCCTTTAAACTAGGGGAGAGAAGTCCTCCAGCCCCATTAACTCAAGGAGGAACCCCCTCTGCTGGGAGGTCCAGGCATCCTCATGGCAGGACGACCCAGACCCACTGGACCGTCCCCCTGTGGAAGGACTCCCCCCTAAAATGAGTATTTTCATAGGCGGGAAGTGGTTTCACTGCCTAATTGACACGGGGGCAGATCAAACCATACTCAGGGAGGAGGAAGTGCCCTCGGACCGGAAGCTTGCACCTGGGCCCCCGACATTGGATGTAGGGGGCAACTCCCAGTCCAAAGAGACAGTCACCCTTATGAAATGGACTAGCCCAGATGGAGAGCAGGGAAAGATACGCCCTCTAGTGGCAAAAAGCCTCACCGCCAACTTACTAGGGCAAGACATGCTGAGACAAATGGATGCTGTGGTCACTACAGACCATCCTGAATGGAGAAGCAGCACAAAGGCTTAAATGGGATCTAGAGGGAGTTAAGGAAAAGGACTTTTTTTAAACTTTCATAATTACAAAGAAGGACATAAGGGACCTGCTCGGGTGCACCCTAAAGGCCACTGCCCCCCCCCAGTACCTCCCATTGGGTGGAAGCCAGGAAGCCCTATTTGGGTGGAGCAGTGGCCATTGACCAAACCTAAACTTGTAGCCCTCCACCTTCTGGTGCAGGAACAGATAAACCTTGGGCACATATGCCCTACTATGAGTCCTTGAAACACACCTGTATTTATTATCCAAAAAGCATCCGGGGGCTGCCGCATGCTCCAAGATCTATGTAAGGTAAATGAAAGGATGGAGCTAGTAGGAACACCCCTAA